ATTATAATTTAATAGAAAAATTAGACTAGAATATCCTGGGCCTGTATAAAATTAGAGAAATTATAATGTTATATATTTAATAACTGGTCTGACTGCCCAGTATTAAAATATATATTATATTTAATATTAGTCTCCTTGGTTTTATGAATAATAATTTTATAACTAAATAATATATATTCTTACTATCTTGTAGGAAGTCAAATAGACTTAAAAAGTAAAACATAAAAAATAATTTTAATTTTATATAAAATTTCCAGGGCTGCAGATATCCCTGGTTATCTAATAATGTTAAATAAATAAAATATCCTGATCCTACTACAGAGCCTGTATAGTATTTTAAGAATATTTATTGGATTATTAAGATTTTTTTATTATTATTTTAATAATTATAGGCCAGTACCTTGACAAAGCTCAGTTTAGAAAGAATATATTATTATAATATGAATCTAAAATATTTTCCTGATCTGCTTAGTTTAACTAAACTATTTAACTTATTTAATCTTTTTATATTTTTTACTTATTTTATATATGATTTATAATATTTTAAATCTCCTGCCTGCTCCTAATCCTATTATAACTTTCTAAATAATATATTATTTATAAATCTAAAGATAACTTGATAAAGTGGCTAGAAAATAAAATTTAGAACATTTATATTAAGAAATCTCCAGCCAGAACTGCTAGTCCTACTATCTTGTCTGCGACTAAGCTAGCCAGCCAGCCTATACCTTGACATTAATTAAGAACCAGATTTTATAAAAATCTTTATATAAATTCTAGAAAAAGATAATATTTATTTAAGAAAGTAAATATCTTCATAGGAATAATCTAAAGATATACTAGTATAATTAGTATGTCTAATAAGACTAATATAAAGAAATATATACTATAAAATATTTCTAATCTATATTATAAGACTAATTATAAAATGTAATTATTATTTATAATCTTAGAAAATCTAAAAAGAACTGAAAAAACTATATAGATCTAGAACAGTTACGAGGATTTATAATTAATAAGTTAATTATATTGTATATATATTCATAATGAATATCAATCTTAAAATCAAACTTATAAGTCATTATAAAACTAAAACCAGTTGATTTATAATGTATCGCCTTAAAGTAGAAAGCTTTTTGGAATATTTATAGAAATACTTATAAGAGATAGATTTTGAATAGATGTTAAATACATATATATTACTATAAGATCAATAAAGAAGTTAATAAGAACAAGTATTTAATAGCATAATAAATGTATTAAACATATGATAAATATACTTTAATTTATATAATGAAATTCTATAAAATCTATCAATGAATATACATCATAATGAATTGGGAATAGTCTTTATACATAATAAAAATTAGTAAAATATATAATTATATCTTTTCAGATTGATTAATACTACTGTAGAATTACAAATTTTAGTTTCTTAAAAGAAAAAGGATATAATATAAAATGAAATAGATATTATTTCAAAATGATGAAAATTAATTTCATTTTAGGGTTTAGTATTGACCGCGAAAATATATTAGATGATATTAAAATAAATTAAAATTCAGTTACAAATAATGGAACAAGTTATGGAAAAAATGACAATTTTTTTAAACTATAAATTAGTCTACTTGATTTATATAAAGTATTAGTAATTATCCAGTCCATTTATTAATATAATTAATAGATTTTATTGAGAAAAGAAAACTAGGTTTAGATTTTTTCATAAAGGAATTATACAAGTTTTTGTAAATCAAAAAAATTATTTTTTGAGAAAGGGTAGTACGTATATATAAAAATTAATAGCTTAATATTCATAGTTAATAAAAATATTATAAAAAAATAAGAATAGCTGGTAAATTCTGATTATATTTAATGTATAATGATTTAAAATAGTTATATTATCTAATTAGGTTATACTTTTAATGATTAAATCTTCTATAAAAGAATAATTATACAATCTTCAAGAAGAAGACCTTATAAAATTAGAGATAAATCATAAAAAATATTTCCTAAGCAATAAGAGTTTTTGAAGTTATATATAGTAAGTATCATATTTAATAACAATTCAATCCGTAGTATATATTATCTAGAAATATAAGATCTGATAAAAATCTTTTTATAGTATCTGAAGTACAGAAATTATAATGTTTGATATAAAATTTATTACAAAATTACTTAATTCTTTATTAATCTAAACTACAATATCTACAGGAGGTGGGAGTAATTTATAAATTTCACAGATCTTTTAAAATTATAATTATAAATAAAATATATGAAAGATTACTTAAAATTATATATATATATATATATATATATATATATATATATATATATATAAGTTTAAGAACATTTATCATAATACTTTAATTAATTGATTGATTAACCTGTTTATATAGACTTATATTAAGTATAACTGAATAATAGATAATATTAATTCAGCAGCCAGGCAATTATCAGAATAGCTAGTGAGATTATTTATATCTAGAACTATACATACAGTAAGACTAGTATCCTGCAAAGGCACATCCAACCAATCCTTTTAGGTCAGACCCCTTCAAAAATTATATTTAACTGCATTCTAAGATTATCTATAATTTTTCTCTGGTATGTTTTTCAATTGTATAACTATAATATTATAAAGATCTGATAGAAAGATTATACAATTCAAAGTAATTAAACTGATTATATATATATATATATATAAATATCTTTTTAGAGAATGTTGATAATTTTAAATAGTTTTAAGAGAGTAATAATAAATATAAATCTCTGAAAAGGATCTTCTTGAACTTCCTGAATATTATAATTATAAATATAATTATATTTATAAAAAGAATAGTAAGAACCCTCTTCCAGGATATATTGATAAAACATCTTATAAAGATTAAAAATATTATATACTTATAATAATGTGATAGAATAACCCGGCTCTCATGGTAAAGATCATCGGGATGACGTGCTGTAATAATTATAGGAGTTATGAGGTCATTGATAATGATTCTACATCACCCCAGCACCTATAAGGTGTTAATCTCTCTATAAAAAACTATTAATTCCTTAAGAATCAGTTTATTTCATGGATATAGGCTATTTTTATTATTATTATATAAATCCACAGTATTTAATAGTTAATTTCTTATCTAGTCAACAGGTCTTTTATTCTAATAAGTAAATTTTATTGTATTTTAATTCTTCTACTTTTAATTATCTAAGGAAGATGCCACCCTGTTAAAATAATAAAGAATTAAAATCAGTTAATAATTAAATTTTTATAAAGTTATTATTAAATATTATTCTTATTATTAAAAAAGTATAACAACTCAAGAATTATATTTATTAACTGAAATAAACTAATAATTTATAATAAAGAATAAATTATCTTTAAAAAAATTATTTATTTAATAATATATTATTAAGATACTCTTGATTATTCTTTAAATTAGATAAAGAAAAAGAAAGAGATTAAATTTATTAATATTATTTAATTTATATTAAATTTTAGTCTTCAGAAATTTCAGGAATAGATTATTAATCTAAAATATATATTTTAGAAAACCTCTAAGAAGTATTTATCAGAGAAATATAAGATTATTACTATTATTAGTTGTATAGATCTAATATATATAATAAACAAAAATAGTATTATTTTATTAATAATAAAATTCCAGATAAAAAACAAATTATGCAGAAATTTTAATCTTAATTTAAAGACTAGACTTTTACTTTAATTAGAAATATTATTATATTTCAGTTAGATACTATAGCCCAGCTTAAATAAATATACTAATAATTCAATTAAGATTTATAAGAATTTTATATTTATTTTAATATATTAAAGTAATATTTTTCTTATTAAATTAAAAAGAAAAGTATTTTATTTTATTTTATTAGATTTTTTTAAATTTAAATTATTATATTTAAGAGCATGTTCTGTACCTGTTTAAAAAATAAAAGAAAATAGTAATTATTATTACTTATTATTATAAATTATAAAATAATAGAAAAAATATAAATAAAAAGATAATTATTTTACTAGTTATAAATTATAATACCAGTCCCGAGACTATAATCATAAACCAGTTAAAGATAGTATTCTATACTGTAAAAAAAATTTTATTGGAAAAAATAATAATTAATTATATTATTTATATATAAAAATACTCAACATCTCATAAATTATTATTATATTATAAGGAAAAAAATTAATTTATTAAAATTTATTCATTTTTTTTAAAATCAGAGAAAAAAGTAAAGAAATTAAAATAATTTTTATAATTTTAATTTTTTTATTTATAATAAAGATTATTTATTATTTTTATATTTTTATTTATATTTAAAATAATCTCAAAACCTTTACAGACCTCAATAATTATATTAAAATAGATATAATTAACTATTAATTTATTAAAATATATTATTTTTAATATACTTTAATTATTATTTTTAAAATTAAGACTATTAATCAGGTTTTTATTCTTATTTATAATATATAGAAATCTTTATTATTATTATTAAAAATAAAAAAATACTTGTACTTTCAAATAATATTATATAAAATTAACAAGAATTCTTAGTTTAAAAAAATTTAATTTTATGATTAATAATTATTCTTTAGAATTTATATATTAACTTATTATTTTATAATTATTAATAATAATATAATATATTATTTATTTTCTTTTTCTTAATTATCCAGTTTACTAGAGTTACTCAGAATTAAGCCAGAATATATATTATTATTAAGTTTTCTGAGCATATTTAGCTATCTGAAAATAAATTTTATAATTTATAAATTTCAAATAAATTCTAATTAAATTTAAGAAATTCTAAAATATTTTTTTTATAAATTTTTTCTAATAATTATTATTTCATAGCTCTGTGGATTATATTATTAATTTTAAAACTAATGAATTATCTTTATATAATCTAATATATTTTTTTGAGACCGAATTTAAGATCTTATAAAAATATTTATAAAAAGAAATTTAAAATTAAATTAAATTTATTTTTTTAAAAATCTTACTAGGGTCTCTATCCTTTTTATATTTAAAAATAATAATAATTTATATTTTTATATAAATTATAGAGATTTTAATAAAGTTTTTATTAAGAATTATTATTCTTTATTTTTAATTTCAGAGATTCTTGTTAAAATTTCAGGTAATAAATACTTTTGAAAAATTAATATTAAGAATATTTATTATTAGATTTATATTAAAAATAGAAATAAATAGAAATTAATATTTTATATTTAATATAACTATTTTAAATATATTATTATATTATTCAGATTAATTAATTTTCTGGTAATCTTTTTAAATTATATATATACTATGCTTTATAGACTTTTTAATAATTTTTATATAATATATTTAAATGATATCCTTATTTTCTCACCAGATAGGAAATCCCATATAAAATATATTTATTAAATATTAAAAAGACTCTAAGAAGCTTAATTTTATATAAAATTATTAAAATATTTCTTTTATTAATTCTATATCAAAATTCTAGAATATATTATTAATAGTAATAATATATCTATGGATTTCTGATAAGTAAATAATATTATTTTATAATTAATTTTTAAAAGCTATTATAATATTTAAATTTTCCTAGAATTTTATAATTTTACTGATAATTTATTAAAAATTATTTTTATATTATATTACCTCTCATCTCTTTACTCCATGGAATGACTAATGGACAGAAGCTAGAAGAAATTTATTTAAATAAATATAAAAGAATTATTTTTTACTATCTAATTATTATTTTTTAATAAGTATTATTACAAGTATATTTTAATTTTATAAAATCCTGATGTTTAGAAACTAATATATTAAAGAAAAGGATAAATAAAATTCTATTTTAATTTAATAATAAAAATATTCTTTATCTAGTTATTTTCTAATTATATAAGTTTTCTAGTATTAAGTTAAACTATAGTACTTTAAATTAAGAATTATTTATTATTATTTATTTTTTTAAATAATAAAAATAATATCTTAAAAATAATTTTTAAATTATTAAGATCTTATCAGATTATTCTAATTTATAATTATTCATGTAATAAATTAAAATTAATAAAAAATAAGTTTAATAAATTATATTTTTAATTTTTTTTAATTTTATTATTAAATCTTAAATAGAAAAATTTAATCTAGTAAACAAACTTTTAAAAATATTTATAAAAATTTGAATAAAATTTATTCTATAAAAATAACTTTTAATTCTGATTTATAAATATTTTATAGATATATCATCTCTGATAATTAAAAATATAATTAAAGTGAAATCCCAGTTCAAATCTTAAAATATATAAAAATATTTTAGATTTAATATTTATATAATATTGAGCTCAAAGAACTCTAATAGTTAAATTAATATAAAAATAATTAATTAAATCATTTAAAAAAACTTATTTCAAAAGAGATTTATATTTTAATCTATAATAATATATATATATATTATAGAAATTTTATACTTAAATAAATATATTTTTAAGCTTTAAAAGATAATCTTATACTTATAAAATAAAAATTCAAAGATATAAAAATAAAAAACTATTATTAAATAAAATTAATTAAATTAAAAAATTAGAATATTAACTTTATAAAATATATTTATTTTAAAAATTATTTTTTTATATTATTATCAGAAATCTTATATTAAATACTTATTTATTTATATTATAATAATCTCCTGGTAGGACACTTTGGAAAGACTTAAACAGAAATATTATTATATAAAAAACTTATATAAAAAATTTTATTAAAAATAGATTATATTATAATATAACTGAATATATCTGAACTTGTTTAATAATATATTAAAAAATATAATTTCTAAATATTAATTATATAGCAAGTCTAAATTTTTATTAATATTATTATATTCTTTTTAAGAATTATTTATAGATTTTATTACAGGTTTATTACTAGTTATTTAATATAAAAAAACTATTAATATTATATTAATTATTATAAATTATTTTTTAAAATATTTTTTTATTATTTTATTTATAATAATTGTTTTAGACCTTGCTAAACTATTTTATTAAAAGATTAAACTAGCCTTTAATTTATTTAATAATATTATATCAGATTAAGAATCTATTTTTACTAGTAAATTCTAATTAAATTTATATTATAATAATTATATTATCTTAAAGTTTTTGACAGTGTATTACCTCTAAACTGATAGCTAAACAGAAAAAATAAATCAAATTTTTAAATATTATTTATAATATTATTTAAATTAATTTAAAATAAACTAGTTTTTAATATTTTTAACTGTCTAATTCACATGTAATAATACAAATAATATAATTACTAAATAATTATTTAATTAAATTTTATATAATTATTTATTAAATTTTTATATCCGAATTGAGGATGATTCTCAGTAACAGAAAATTTTAATTATATAGAATAAAATTAATAGACTTTAAGAAATAAAAAAACAGCTACAAAAAATATAATAAATAATTATAAGAAAATAAAAGAAATATTATAATAAATTTGAAAAATTATTCTATTTCAAGAAAAAAAATCTAATTAAATTATTAATCCAGAATCTATAATTTAAAGAATTAAGAAAATTAGTTCTGAAGTTTATAAAATTTTCTAAATTTTAGAATATATTAGATTTTAAGTATATTACTTATATTTATTTAATAAATATAAATAAAATTATAATATATTTTATATTTCTCTATTAGAACTGTAGCATAGTAGGAAAATTATAAAGAATTACTTTTAATACTAGAATTAAATAATAAAAATAAGTAAAAAGTTAAAAAAATTAAAAATTATTAATATTTATAAAAATTAAGACTATTACTTAATTAAATAAGAAGAATAATTAAATAAATATAATTAATAAATCCTGAATAAGAATATAGTAAATATCTAATAGATTATAAAAAATTATTAAAAAAAGCAGAAACAGCATAAGATATAAAAATTTATAAATTATTATTATTATTAAATTAAATATACTAAGAGATATAATATTATATTATTATAATATAATAAATAATATATAAATATATCTAACCTCTCTTCTTTTTAATTTATTAATAAAATAGTACCGGAATCCAGTATTCTTTTATAAACTAAAAATAAAAATAAAAAATAAATCAGTTAAATTATAAATTTTAAAAGCCGTGATATATCTATTAAAAATATTACTATTATCTGATATAATTTTATTGATAATATTAAAATACTGAGTACAGGCTATCTCAATAATAATCTTATTTAAATAAAATTTTAAAATTAAAATCTAGATTATATAATCTTTATCTTCTAGTATTAAATAAAGTAGTAAATTATATCTATATATCTAGTATTATCTGGGAATAGCACCAGCAGAAGGTAAAGAAATTCATAATCTAATAATTTTATAATAAATAATTAAAAATAAGTTATATACTAGTATATTTTTCTATTAAAATATTACTAATTAATTATATATTTTAATTATTTATAAGACTTTTATACATGGACAGTCTTTTTCAATTTCTTGAAATTAGACTGACGAGCGTAAACTAACTCAGTATAATTATATATAATAATTAAATTTAATATTTTTTTAAGAATAACATACTTAATATTTTTATTTTATTTATTTATATTTATCAGTTTTACCTGCCACTCAAGGATAATAATGAAATTATAAATATTATTAAATATTTCTGTACTAGTCTAGCCAATATTAATATTATATTTAATATAATAAAAGAAATTAAATAATATTTACTAGAAAATATATCTTTTTCTCTTCAGTATACTGGTAATATAATACTGAAATATAAATATTCTAATAATAGTTAATATTATAAAAAACTCCTTCCGCGATATTAAAATTACTGTTAATAGTACAGAGGTAATATATATAAAAAAGATAATAAATTTTAATAAATTATTTTCATTAGATATAAATCTTTGCCGCAGGAGCTGCTTTGGGAGGTATAATAAAAAATAAATATAAAATATATAATTTAAATATAAATAAAATGAGAAATAATTATAGACAGATATTTAATTACTAACTAATTAATATATAATAATAAAAACAATGAAAAGCACGTGAGATAATAATAAAAAATAAATAAAATAATTATAAAGAATTAAAAAAATAATAATCCTGAAATAAAAAAAATAAAAAGAAAAATAATATAAAAGATTTTCTTATTTATATTTTTTATAATAGATTTATTTATATAAATATAGCTAAACACTCGTGAAACTATATAAAAATAAAATATAATTTATTTATATTATATATTCTGTATATTTTTTATCTTTTGTTATCGGATCCCCACTATTCTGAATTAGAAATACATGAGATTATCTCTAATATATGAGCCAGGTGGCTTGTCCCAGTGAAGAAGGATGCCATCTATAATAAAATAATCTATTTATTATGGTAAAGATTATCAGGATGACGTGCTATAGTAATTATAAGAGTTATGAGATTATTAATAATAATTCTATATTATTCTAGTACTTATAAGATATTGATCCCTCTACAAAGAACTACTGATCTCTCAAGAATTAGTCTATTTTGTAGATATAGGCTATCTTTGTCATTATTATACAAATCTACAGTATTTAGTGGTTGATTCCTTACATAGTCGACAGGCCTTCTACCCTGACAAGTAGATCCTATCACAAATAAGCTGACTAGGTTAAACTATTCAAAGTTATTATAATATTAAAAAATAGACTCTCTATCTGTTTAATATTATATTTATATCTAGAAATCGTAATTCAAAGATTTATATTAATCTCTGGATTATATATATATATAACTAGCTTAATAAGATAAATAAACAATTTTAATTTAATCTGATTGATTTTTACAGGAATCTTGATCCCGATCAAGCCAGGATCCCTGGCAAAGAACTTAGAATTATATATATATAAGATTTATACTTTAATAGTTCAGCTGCTTTAATATAAAAATTAGAATCTAGTAAAAAAGATTAATAGTAATATTATTTATAAAAATTTTGAGATCTTAAGCCGCAAGGTTATAACTGACCAAATTATATACTAATATATATTTATTACATGAAAGGTTCAAAAGTAAATATAATATTCATGTACTATAGATATACCATAACATTTCTTCATATAAGTACTAATATAATCAGAAAAAGTAATTTTTT